CAGGATTCTGTACAACACTACCAAAATACTTCTTAACTTCAGCAGCTGATTTGGCAAGCACAAAGCCTCCTGTTATATGGCAGGAGTCCAGTTTCTTGCCCATATTGTTCATTGTTTTGCAGATAGAGAAAAGCTATGCACGTCAAATATAGAAACACCTATACAAAACGTAAGAGCCTATAATCTATGAATATGCAAGAACAACAGGCCTGATTTCTGCACGTCTGCAACCTCTGCACATTTATTTCCAGTTAAGGTAATAGAATTTTTTTTTTTTTTTTGGATAAATAAAATACGATCTTTTAATCCATTGTTATTACTTTTTTATGATTTGTTTGTGAAACAAAGTTATTTTTTGACTTTCCCACTAACAATAACAAAATGAAAAATGACTCATTTTACAGTTTTTCAATACTGTTTTTAAATCAAAATCAAATGATGAAAAGATACACAAACCAAAATATTTAACACTGTGGTTTAATCACATTCTGCATAGTAATATAATCACACTTCTGAGAGTTAATGTAACAAAGTTGCTAAAAATGGACACTTTAATGTGTAATCGTATTTAACCCTGATGCAGTTGTTTCTCTTCTTCATAAAATTACAGCATTTATTGTAAAATAACAACATTCAACAAAAACATGAACAAAACATGAACAATCCTGCTGCCCATGCTCACCTTAACTATAATGGTCAGATCAATACATCAATATCAAAAAGACAAAATATGTTTTCACCAGAGAAAGCAATATGGAACGACAAATAGAGCTGTGTCATTCATTCCATATGACATTTGTATGTCAAAAGGCCTATCATAATGCAAGTTGTCGACATGAAAGAAAACAAAACCATGTTTTGACCTGGTCACTTCATTTGCATGGAAATGTTCTTGAAAAGCTACAGTAGCTAAAGGCACAGTGACCAGCAAGACTCTTCCATGTATTATCAGAACAGAATCAATATGATAGAACAGAGGCATTTCAGATTTTTTGCCACAGATAACCAGATGTGGGCAGTAAACCAACCACTTGTCATGCAACCCTCCAGCTCTGAGAACTACTTGGACTCTATCTCCCAGAACCTTCTGGGAGATCATGTGACTCCTAACCTCTCTGCTCGCTCCAAACATTGTTCACAGTCTCCTGAGTATTGATGTGTTTCATCTGGCGTTAGTATAAAGCCCGGGCTTAGAGTTAGTCTTTGTGGGGTACTGCATCTTTTCTTAGTGCTACTGAGTGTCTTTATATTGCTGTGCTTTCTAACCATTTTTCCTGTTTTTTGACTTTGCCTTTTTTGCCTGACCCTGTTTGCTGTTTGTTATGTTTGTCTTTTTGTGCTGGCTGTCTTTTTTCCATAGAATGACTCATTACCTAATTACCTAACCATTACCTAATTTCTTATGAGCTACGTCTTAGCCATAATATATGTACGTCTCCTCACTATTCTAGAAAGCACTCAATAAAACAATTTACCGCCCTATAATTCATAGAAAACCTCCCAGAACTAACAACCCTAGTCTCCACTCCATCAGACCCAATGGAGCTAGATGTACTAACCGACTATTTAGAACACACCTTTCGATCTACTTTAGAAAACGTGGCGCCACTTAAAATAAAAAGGATAAGACAGAAAAGGCTCGCCCCAGGGTACAATGATAAAACCTGTACCTTAAAACAAACTAGAGCAGAAATGGCAATCAACCAAGCTGGAAATGTTCCACTTTGCCTGGAAGGAAAGCCTTATAGAGTATAGAAATGCTCTCACTAAAGCTCACTAAGCATATCTGGCCTCGCTGATCGAGAATAATAAATATAATCCTAGAGTACTGTTTAGTGTGATTTCCAGAATTACAAAAAATCAGGCAGGTACTGAACCACAAATTCCGGCGACTCTCACCAGTGAAGTTTTTATGGACTTTTTTAATAATAAAATCGAAAGTATTAGACAACAAATTCAACCCACAGTATTAAATCCAACTTGGCTGTCATCTGATGTGGCTGATATAAAACATAACGAGGCTGGAAACTTTCTACCCACTCCCACAGCTAGAACTAGAGAAGATTATCTCCTCTGCAAATTGTACAACCAGCACACTTGATGCAATTCAAGAAACCAAACCTTGATGCTAGCGTATTGTCTAATTACAGGCCTATTTCTAACCTATAATTTATATCTAAGATCTTAGAAAAAGCTGTAGCCCAACAACTTAGTTCATATCTACATAAGAACCAAATATATGAAAAATTCCAATCTGGATTCAGGCCACATCACAGCACTGAGACAGCTCTAGTTAAGATAATAAATGATCTTCTTCTTGCCTCTGATCAAGGCTGCATATCCCTGTTAACGTTATCAGTTCGTAAAGGTAAATGACTTATCTTCCAATTATTCAAAAGTAAGATTTGGAATTCCGCAAGGCTCTATTTTAGGACCATTATTATTTACATTATACATGTTATCGTTAGGCACAGTTATAACCATGGCATTAACTTTCACTGTTACGCAGACGATACGCAATTGTACATATCAGCCAAGTCTGATGACAAATACAGGTTAAAGAAAATAGAGGACTGTGTAAAAGATGTGAAAGGCTGGATGTTGCGTAACTTCCTCTTTCTAAACAGTAACAAAACAGAGGTTCTCCTTCTGGGTCCAAAAGTGGCAAGAAATAAATTTTAAATCTCGCTGACTTTCCAGTTATACCTGGTTCAGCAGCAAAAAATCTTGGCATCATAATTGATCCAGATTTATCATTCGATCAACACATAGGCAGTATCACTAGGACAGCTTTTTTACATCTTTGCAACATCGCCAAAATAAGAAATGCCTTATCGCTGCATGATGCAGAAACATCAGTACATGCCTTTATTACTTCAAGGCTAGACTATCGTAATGCACTACACCATCAGGATGCACCAGCAGGAATTTAAGTAAACTTCAACTAGTTCAAAATGCTGCAGCCAGGGTTCTCACTAAAACTAGAAAATTTGATCATATCAGTCCAGTTCTATCATCACTTTATTGGCTGCATGTTAAATTCCGTATTGATTACAAAATTCTTTTATTGACATATAAAGCCCTACATGGGCTCGCTCCTGAGTACCTGCAAGACCTTATTTCCCATTACGAGCCACCACGATTACTCAGATCACAGAGTGCTGGCTTTTTAATAGTTCCAAGAATTCAGAAGGTTTCAGCTGGGGGAAGAGCCTTTTCTTATAAAGCCCCCAAACTCTGGAATGATCTTCCAGAAAATGTTCGGGACTCAGACTCAGTCGCAATATTCAAATCTAGGCTGAAAACTCACTTGTTTAGTTTAACTTTTGGTAGTTAATGTTCCCCCTTAGATAAAGGCAGCAGATCCAGGGGTCCATGGACACAGGGAATTATAGTAAACTGAGACGCTGGTGCTGTTGTCCCGCCGCTCGCATGGGATCACTCAGGTTTGTGGACGGTGGAGCAGAGGGATGCCAAATTGTTTCAGGGTGTCCTTTTGGTTCTCACTACACTGAAGTTTTCATGGACTCCTAACTATTACTACTACTAATTACTACTATTAATATTAGTAGTATAATAATTTTGTAGGTAGTTTGACCAGAGGACGATGGGTCCCCCCTTGTGAGCCTTGGTTCCTCCCAAGGTTTCTTCCCCAACTCTGAGGGAGTTTTTCCTTGCCACTGTCGCCCCTGGCTTGCTCACCTGGAGGATTTACATTTCATGTTAAAACTTTGTCTTTAATGGATTTCTGTGAAGCTGCTTTGTGACAACATCAGTTGTAAAAAGTGCTATATAAATAAATTTGACTTGACTTTTTGGATTTGAGCTATGCCTGTGTATGGACTGTGACTCTGGATTCTAATTCAAACTGTAAAGCCTCTTTTTTGCCTTTTTACCCACAGGCATCTGAGTCATTCTGCCACATTACACCACTTTCCCTAGACCAGTGTCTAAGCAGATAAGTAGTTGAAGATTGCTCACTCTGATGTATTTTTTGCCAGTGTTTTGTAATATTTTAAAATGATTTTGATTGTTGTTTTTTTTTTAATAATTATTTTTGTCTTCATACTGCATATATCAACTATGAAGTACAAGTCCAATTTTCTGGATGCAGCGGGGATGAGAATAGATAAGAAAATGTTGCTCCACAATCAAATGTTTTAAATAAACACACAAACCTTGAGATAACATGGGAGAGAATATAATGTATCTTAAGTAATAAAAGAAGCAGATCCCAGTGTTAATCAGTAGTTACCAAATCTCCAAAGGTAAGGGGAACTTTTCTCAGTAGGCACCATGACTGAACTGCATTCAGTCTCGGATCATTAGATTCTTCACATACATTCACAGTCACTGGCCTGTTGTTTCTCTCCATGAATCCATGATTAAAACTTTGTATTTTTACATGCAAATCTCCTGATTTTTTATGGTTTTCCTTCAAATAATCAAATAATAACTTCAATTCACACTGGGCCACCCCTTCCAACATATGAGTATCACATCAACTAAGAAGTTCTCAGTTGCTGTGGATTTAAAAAATCACCATCTACAGAATCCAGTGAACTGCTTGCATGGCACTTGTTAAGATACTTTCTAAAGCCAGAAAAACTACAAAAAGAACATGAACATCTCACATGACCACATTTAAGATGAAGTGTCCTCCCTACAGAGTCCAGGAATTACCTTAAGTTGCTTGATGAGGCTGTTTGGACTTCCAAGGTCACTTTTGCAAAGACAACACCTCATGCACCAGGAGAGGCCATGCACTCATAGCCCTGCAACTCTGGGAGTCTCCTTTGTTTATCCCATGTCAATGTTGTAGATGGTTGTTTGTACAAAAGTGAAAATGTTGTTCAGGCAAGAGCTGTACAATGTACCAAAGACGAAATGGGCCTTAAAGGGTTCATCAAAAGCTCCCACTCCAACCCGTTGCCTTGCATGGAAACGCATGCTTGTCATCACAATGAAGTAGAAGCGAATACTGCTCTTTGTGGATCCCAGGGCAAGAAGGTAGGGCTGACTGCTTTGGGCGATGCTATCTAGATGCTGCTGCACACTGGTTCCTACATAGGAGATTCAATATAAGTATTTAGTGACTAACCTCTTATGATACATCAGGTCACCTCATGCTGTGCATGATATTGAGGTGATAAAATATATATTTCAGACAATTGCTCAACAAATCTTTTGAAATTTGTTGACCTGATCTACTCCTTGAAATGCAGACATTTTTCCTTGCCTCTTTCAGCCTTGTGCAGACAGTGGTAGCAGATGTAGCAGCAGCAAGATAGCAAATGTGTCATTGTCCCAGCCTAGTGATCAGTAAACCAACGTCAAGTTGACATGATTCCAAGATGGCACTGAGTATGGATGCCATGTTGCAAGCTCCCTTCACTTCTTTTAGTTTTTTGTGTTTGTCTGTTACTACTCTAAAATTTTCACTTATCTTTGCACCTGTGTAAATGTGATGTGACAATAAAGGTAATTTGATGTGAAAGTGATTTGACATAATAATTCATATTGTGTACCTGCATAAAACAGTAATGACAAAACAGCACTCATACCATTCTCCACTTCAACAACTGACTCAGTATTGTGCATCAAATCTAAGAGTTGTGTGGTGTTTGGCGAGGCCCCAATCAACAAATTCTTGGAGAGATAGTCAACCACTTTTTAAAGAAAAGTGATTGAGTAAAGCAATTAACTCATGGCTCAACAAAGTTAATGATGGCTCACATTTCAAAGGCATGAGTTAAGCCATGTCAAAGTAATCATGCAGTCAGCACGTAGTGTTAGCAGTTAACTAGTGACAGCTAACGCTACGTGCTACTACTAATTTACCTAGAATGCTAACATTAACATTATGAAAGCTTCAGTTTAGGGTTTTGCTTGCAACATGAGTTAGCCAATAACGTTAGATAAGAATTGCTAAAAATTTTTGTATATTGCTAACTTGGGCCACGTTAGCTACCGAGATAATGCTGTTTTAGGTATATACATATTTTGACTAACTTCCATCATAAATATAAAATAATATATTGTAACTCTTAAAAACAACATTCTGATGATGACTGAGAAGCATCTGTGCCTCTTAAAGCAAAGCAAAAATAAAGATAAGGGTTGCTAGCTTGTGAGGCAGCTAATGACAAGCACAATCCACCTTGAGATACCTACCTCTTCAGTTCTTACAGCCATTTTAAAAGTATAGATTTTCTTTAAACAAACTATGGTTAACTTACATATTATAAGCTAAATATAATGCTAGCAATGCAGTTATTCACAGTAGCTAGCATGCTAAATATGGCACTAGGAAAGCCTCAATTTAGTTTCAAGACAAGAGCAATATAGCTAGCTAATAAAGTTGTTTGTATACTGCTAATGTTTGCCACATTAGCTACCAAGTTAGCATTGTTTCAAGTAATGGGCAGTTGTCATCTCAAAGGTAAAAATGTTAGTCTACATCTTGATGACTAAAGTATGACAGCTAGCTACCTTAGCTTACAGAAAGTTGTACTGCCACATTGGCACTTGACAACATAAAGCATAAAATTATTATGTGTATTTTTAACCATTAAGTTCAATTCTCAAGCTTAATCAGAGATTTTGAACTATGAATTACTTTTGGCCTTTTAATTTAGTCAGAGATCAAATTTAATCCCTGTTTGGGAAAGCAGCTCACAGTGTGTGTGTGTGTGTGTGTGTGTACACATTTATCCAAGATCATTGTTACTCACATTAGATCTTATAGTCTGGAATGCTTATCTTGCTGAAGATCAAACAGCAGCTCATGTCCTGTCTTTGTCTGTTCATTTCCAGACAAATACAGGTCTCTCAGGTGTGAGGGGTTTGCTTTCAGAGCTGCAGTCAGAGCAGCACAGCCTTCGTCTGTGATATTACAGTAACATAACCTACAGAGAGAACAATGTCTGAGTCTGGTGTGGATGTAAACAGCGTACAATGCTAAAAAGTGCATGTGTCTGTTGAGAAGATTTGAGTCAGTGAGCAGTAGCTGATATTAGGCTGATCACACTCTACATTTTTTCCATTTCTTTACTTATTTTGAAAATAAACTAATAAATAATAATGACATTTTATCATGACCTTTGTGTATATTATGGCTTTCAATAAAATATTGTCAGTCATTCTGAAGGACACTACAATACTTTATTCTGGTTATTTATGTGTTTGAATATTTTACCAATGAAGATACCTTTCATGTTTCATAACTTCAAAAATGTAAATAGGTTGCTATGTATAAGTGCTGTATTAGGTTATATAAAAGTTATTCTATTGCTACTTTCAAACACATCCTCAGACTAGTGTTTTTGTATTTGAGTTTAGTCTTGCTCTTGAGTCCATGAATTAATGATGTAGATCATTTCTTAGTCTTGACATAAACTCATATTGCAGTGCTGCTCAGACATCACTGTGTTGAGAATCTGCCACTGCACTGCCACCCTTCTAGTGTTTGAAATACAGTCTGCACTCTGATTGGCTAATGAAGAAAAACAGGTCGCTGCTGTCTTTGTTTAGCATTCAAACAGGAAAATGAAATATGAATACAGAAAACAAACACAACAAACAGCATGAAGAGAGAATGAAAAGTCTCTGAAGAACTGAACCGCACATTCTCATACTAATGAACAAACATAGGAATTATATATTGTAAAGTAAATATACCAGTTATGCCAAACCATGAGAAAACGTCTTACTAAGGATCAGTTCATGTGTGACTCTCAGAGAGAAGATCTTACCACAGTGTCTCCAGTTTACAGAGAGGATTCTCCAGTACAGCAGAGAGCAGCTTGACTCCTGAATCTCCCAGTTTATTATCAGACAAATCTAGCTCTCTAAGTTGTGAGGGGTTTGATTTCATAGCTGAAGTCAGAGCAGCAGAGCCTTCATATGTGATATTACACTTAAACAACCTGCAGAAAGTACAATAACAGACTCTTAACTCCCTTAGTTATGAATTCACAGATCAGTTAAGCAGGAACTTCATATTAAGGTGTGACTACAGTCATAAAACAACTTTATTTGTAAAGCATGTTTCATACATGCAGCAAATGAATGAAATGATAAACATGATGAGTTGCATTAGAAATTTAAAGAGCTAGAAAGATAAAATTGTGCCCAGGTTAAACGTGGCAAGTCCTGGCAGTTTTGTCCAGTAAAGGCTAGAAATGTTTTGATATTATGACTGTTCAATTTCAATTTGGGTCATTATTAAATGATTTATGACTCACTAATATCATGATTTGCATTTGAAATATCTGGCAAGCATAAATAGCGTGGATTTGATGTTTTTTTCATTGTTCTAGACCGTGGAAGCAAAAACATAGTGAAATATATATATATATATATATATATATATATATGTATATATATATATATGTATATATATATATGAGTAAGCATGTCCAAACTTTTTACTGGTACTCTCTAACAATACTTCCAAATGAAATATCTTTACAAAATTAATTAAACACAAAAAAGTATTTTAATCTTCTGTTACAGTTCCAATTCGGTAAAGAAAATTTCAAATAGAAAACAAACACAACAAACAGAACGATGAGAGAATTAAAAGTCTTTGAAGAACTGAAACAAATGTCAAATAATGATTCTGAATCTACAGACTCAAATAGAGATTAGAGAATATTCAGTAGATAACATGTTTTACAGAGGACAAGGTCATGTGTGAGATGATCTTACCTCAGAGTCTCCAGTTTACAGAGAGGATTCTCCAGTCCAGCAGAGAGCAGCTTTACTCCTGAATTTCCTAGATTATTCATAGACAGTATTAGATCTCTCAGATATGAGGGGTTTGATTTCAGAGCTGAAGTCAGGGCAGCACAACCTTCATTTGTGATATTACAATTCCACAACCTGCAGAGATCAATGACACACCCTTCACTCTCATTTCAGAACACACAGATCTGTTAACAAGAACTTCAACACACAACTTCACAAAGTGTGACATCATTCATAAAACACAGTTCTAAATAATAATAAAAATAATAATAATAATAATAATATTGTGCCCAGGTTAAAAGTGGTGAGTTCCACAGTTAGTAATAGTAATAGAAAAAAGCCACTGATGAGTCAATCATATGAAAACTTAAATTGTGAGTAAAACAGGTCACTGCTGTCCTCATTTAGTATTCAATCAATGCTCACATTTTATTTTAAATAGCATAACATTAAGATTGAAAGTATTGTGCAGTAAGGGCCAGAAAATTATCTTGTGAACTCACTACTGTTCACTTTCAGAATTTATTTCACATTTATATTTGGGTCATTGTTAAATATTTTATAACTCACTGAGATCATAGTTTCTATTTAAAATATGTGGCAAATATAAATAGTTAGGATTTTAAGTTTTTATTTTTTTAAGCTGCTGCATGTATGAAAGTGCTCTATAAATCAATTTTGTTTTCTGTTTACTTACAATGTTTTTATTGTAACTAAAAAATGAAAAAATGTTTTATGAGTAGGTGTTTTCAAACTTTAAATTTAACTTTCTAACAACATTTATTAGATAAACAAAGTCTTTACAAAATTGATTTAAAACTGAAATGTACAATTACATTGAATAATGATATAGAATGATTTAATCATATGTAACAGTTCCAATATGGCAAAGTAAAAACTCAGGAAATTCAAATACAAAGACAGAAAACAAGGACAACAAACATAATAATAAGAGAATAAAAAGTCTGAAACAAACATCCTCAGGATTCTGAACATACATACTCGAGTAGAGATTATAGAATATTCATGATTAGAAAACATGTCTTACTGAGGAACAGGTCATGTGTCACTGAGACATGATCTTACCTCAGTGTCTCCAGTTTACAGAGAGGATTCTCCAGTACAGCAGAGAGCAGCTTCACTCCTGAATCTCCTAGTTTATTCTTAGACAGATGCACCTTTCTCAAATGTGAAGAGTTTGATTTCAGAGCTGAAGTCAGAGCAGCACATCCTTCATCTGTGATATTACAATACCTCAACCTACAGAGAGGACAATGACACACTCTTCACTCTTTCAGTTCACAACACACAGAATTTCATCAACAATGTGTGACTACAGTCATAAAATACAGCTTTATTAGTAGAACATTTACAGGTCTTTAATGAAGGCGATATTGTAATAAAAAAGTAAAAGTTATTAGTTATTAATAGTTTAGTAGTTATTAGTAATTATTAATAATATAAGTTAATCTAAAGAATGATAATGTTTTATAAGGACAGTGTTTTTTCAGAGTAATATAGAATAATATATTGTAAATGTGTAAGAGAGTAAAAGTATTAGTATTTCACAGCACTAAGACCACATCACTTAAGCAGACCTGTTTCACTGTTTTTGGGGTGATAATCCTTATATTATAACCTTTACGAGTTGAGGTGATTTGATTTAGGAATATGTAATATAGTAATTCTCACTCACTTTTAATGTAACAGTAAAAATATCTAAAAATATCCATTTTATTTGCAGATAATTAGAGATCATTGCCTTTATGTTTCCTTTTTACTATCACCTATTATTTGATTTTTTTTTTCCATTTTATTTACCCTTTCAATCAGTAGCTTATTATTTAGTAACAACTAGAAAATTAGCATGCAATTTTTAGATTAGGACAACTTCTTACCATAGAATTACTATATTATTACCCACTTATTGCTGCTGCCTTATTTATATAGCACTTTCACACATGCAGCAGCTTAAACTAATTTACATTAAAATAGTAAGGTTAGAAAAGAAGAAATAATAATAAATATAACAATGAAACTCAAAGAAAAATGCAGTGAAATAAACAGAGTAAAATGAAAAGATAAATACAATTAATTGCATTAGGAGTTTGATGAAAAGTTAAAAAGATAACTTTGTTTACAGTTTAAAAGTGATGAGCGACAAGTTCCACAGTTTAGAATGATAATTACAGAAAGACTCTCCACTTTTCTCTAATTTACAGAACTTTTACTGAAGGTTTTGTTTCAGAAATCATTAACACAATACAGTTGCTTAGGAACCTGTAACTATGCAAGAACAAATATAGTAATTATTTGTAATGATTAAAGTGTTATGCTTCTTTACTAATGAACAAACATGAGAACGACAAAATTTATGGGTTGTTTCAGGACATTTACTACTGCAGTCTCACAATTATTCAACCCCTTCATAGTAAGTGTCTTCCATACTTGGTAGAGTACCTTTTGCTTTTATGATCTGTTACAGACATGATGCATAGCAAGATACCATCTTCTGACAGCATTCCTGGGGAATCAGCCTATTCCTAATGGGCAATGGCTTCAAGTTCACTAATATTCTTGGGTTGGCGTGCTGCAACCACCTTTTTCAAATCCCACCAAAGATTTCCTATGGCGTTCAAGTCAGGCAACTGTCAGACAAACTGTAGTTGACTTTGACACAAAATTTGATGTTTGCTGTCTGCTTTGAGATCCATGGTGAAATCGCACATACACACCTACGAGTGGTCCTGATTGCATGACATAATGGAGAATACTGATTCACAAATTTATTGTTTGCACCTGCTGCATGCGCATCACAAAACTGAACCACCCATTTCATTTATCAAACCACTGTGCACCTGCAACATTGCATATAAACATTTTAAATATAATCTGTCAAATTAGTGAGGAAGCCCCACTTATAAACACTTGCCCTTTTTCCATTAAACTAATAACAGACCAAAAATAGACTGATTTAAAAAAATAAATCTTAGAGAAATCATAGAGTACTTTTTACACAATTAAATGTGTATTTAATATCAAACAGGTTATATGAGAAGTTTTAATCAGGTTGTCTTCATAATTATAGTACTGAAATAGCATTGGTCCATGTTGTGAATGACCTCTGACTCAGCACTGATGCACAAAAGCCTTCTATTTTGGTCTTATGGGATGTTAGAGCAGCTTTTGATGCCATTGAACACAAGATTCTAATGTATTGTATTGTATACTAGGTAGGCCTCTTAAGCTTTAGAATCATATTGAACAAACATATTTAAATAATATATGGTTTCACTGGGCAATCGTTCATCAGAAAAATTTGCATTTCCTTTGGAGTCCCACTCAGTTCAGTTTTAGGGCCTTTGCTTTTTTCTTTGTATATGTTGCTTCTAGATGATGTCATTAGGAAACATGACAGCTATGCTAATGACACACAGTTATACATTTCTATTCCTTCTGTTAATCAAGACACCATTGACAGGATTACCAGCTTTGTGTCAGATATTTCTCAGTGGATGTCACAAAATATTCTACAACTAAATCAAGAAAAAAAATCTGAAATACTGATCCTTGGTACTAAAACTCAGAGAAAAATGCTTTAAGAGAATCTCATAACTTTGTAGTCCTAACCTGAAGTAGGAGACCTGGATGTGCATTTGCTACAGCAGAGTTGATCACTGTAATGCTCTTTTTACTGGAGAAAACTATCCATATTCTACCGCTTGTACAAAAGGCAGCAGTACAGAACCTAGCAACAACAAAACAGATGTCAACTGATGATAAGAGTGTCCCTTTCAGGAGAGTATGTTCTGGTCAGAACATTTATGTCCCTGCACCATCTTTGGTTAAAGTAGAAACATACTCCTCTGCCTCTAGTTTTCTGACTGAGAGCAGGGTTACAGTCCACTCTATGCAGTGGTAGCTCCATCACGGCATCAGGAGTAGTGTAATTTAACCACTTCCCACTGAAGCAGTTTCTCCATCACGCAGTTTTGCAAGATTGGCGGTTTTTCCAAAATTTTTGGTTAGTCTGAAAGTGCAGTTTGGGGGGAAATTACACTGTTGCGGGGTGCATTTTCTGTTTGGACTACTTTTTAAAGTAATTGCAGTCACAGAAAAGGGTTTGAAAATGAAAACAAATTGTCTTAAATGTATATTGATCCTAGTCAAATAGCTGGCAACATGTTCCATTTCTGAAAGTAGTGGAGCAGCAAGAAAGTAAACACAGCTGCACACTTTGACCATGGCAACAGTCCAGAACGTAGAACTTTGAGTTTCTATCCAATCAGAGGGCGCAACAACATCTGTGCCTTTCAAATTTTTTGATGTATGCGACAAGGTCTGCAACACCCTAGCAGAGACAAATTTTGTCTTATCTATGTCATTTTTTGTCTAGCAACACTTGTCGTCTGGATTATAAATTGGCCTTTACTAATACAGATATAATAAATATTTATGAATATATTTTGTCACCCCTCCCCATGGTTTTAAAAATCTTGGTTGTGCCCAGAGCAGAAACAGGAGTTTAAATGTCATATTCATGTCATATTAAGCTAGAGATTTTCTATAAGTAATGGTGCTTTCTAATGTGCTTAGCACACATTTTGACATTAGGTATTATTTTGAGGACGCATAAAGTATTTGGCTTTTTGCATATGCATATTTATACATACATATATTGTTGCCTTTATATTCCACTTTCTAATAGCCAACATGATACACTTCCAAATATTAAATACTTGGAGAGTAAGGGTGATGTTAGGTCTGCATTTATGTTCAAATGTCAACTTGTATTTTTTATAGTGGGCACCTAAAAGACTGGAGAGAGACAAAAGAGGCTAAGAGATATGAGGTGAGAATATAGATGTATTGTAGGTGGAGAGTAAGGCAAGAACTGAGGCAGAGGGCTTTTACTCTTTACCCTCGATTCAATTCTATTATGCAGCATTAACATCCATTGATACTCTTGTACTGATTCTCAACTTATAGTATCTGCTTCAGTCTTACTATTAGAGAACGTGTTACTGAGGACCAGGTCATGTGTGACTCTCAGAGGGATGATCTTACCACAGTGTCTCCAGTTTACAGAGAGGATTCTCCAGTACAGCAGAGAGCAGCTTCACTCCTGAATCTCCTAGTTTATTCTCAGACAGAGTCAGCTCTCTGAGGTGTGAGGGGTTTGATTTCAGAGCTGAAGTCAGAGCAGCACAGCCTTCATCTATGATATTACAATTCTTTAACCTACAGAGAGAACAATGTAATAAGATGTTAATAGATATTAATTATATTAATAAAGATTAATCACTTTGGTACAAATGTGTGCTTTTGCTACTGCCTACCATGACTAACTCATAGGACATACACAAGAGCTCAATGTCCTGTCCCATTTCTTACAACATGGTTCTGTAAACATACACTCTTTATATCACACACTTCAATATAATATTGGTATTTGTATAGTAACAGAATATTTAAAAGCAGGTAAAATTAGCTGAAGATCAAAGTGCACTGGTAGAAGGCATCTGACAGCTTGCAACAATGTTAGTCAAATTTAAGTTTATGTAACTAGTAGAAATGGCCTAAAACCATCCAATTTATCCACATGATGGTTAAAGGAGAAATTTACAAATGTTTATGAATGACACAGAAAATACTGTGTAAATAAAAATACATTTAACAGATCTTTTTTTTACTGACAGTAACTAAAATGCAATTTGTTCCATCCTAATAACAACTGCTTTAGAAAATACACACAAATGTTATTTCTAAGTCATAAATTGTTAAAAATGGACATTAGCTCCCATACTTCAAAAAAGAGATACTATAATTTATTAAAACATTTTACTGTACTATATTGTAAATTCTACAGTACTGTAAAATTTGAGTGAGTACAGTAAAATTACAATTACTCAAATTTGTTGACAGTGAAGTGGAGGGGCACAGACATCTCAGGGAGCTGTCTTTGTTACCTTCTGGCTCTCCCTTTTAGTGAGGCTGTAATACAGTCACACCTTCCTCTGGCATGGCTGAAACTACAGCCGCCTCAAACTACAATTCCCAGAACCCCTCACTGCTTAATATGACTTAGGACTCCTACTGATCAAACTATCCAAGCTCAGCTTCACTGGACTTTTGATTATGCGCACATGTTTTCCCCTTATTTAAATTGCCTGTTTTCAGAAGAATGATGGTCATTCCAGTGGAGAACTTTTGTGCAAGCTAAAACAAGGCAATCACCCCAAGTGTGTAAAGAAGCGCTATTGCAGGTCCTTCCTTCCTGCTGCTGTTAGACTGTACAACCAGCACTGCTCCCAGTAGAATCCTCCTCCCCATTAGACCTCACACACCTACAGAAACTGTGGAATTCATCACCATTTCCTGTGTGCAATAAAATCAATACTACATGTGCAATATTTTTAAAATACCTCTATAGTGTGAAGAATTTTTGCTTTTCTATTTATAATGTTTATATTGTTAACTCCTCACCATCCCATGTGTAATATAAATCAGTACCTCATGTGCAATACTCCATGTGAAATTCAGGTAAAATAGTCTTACAGTTCAAATATTTTGCTTTTATTTATTTCGAATTCTTTATATTGTTAATTTTAGTGAAGGATAGAATTAATATTTTTATCTTAATTTTTACTTTTAGTATTATATATATTGTCTATAAAGTAACAAGTAGCAAACTGTATAAACCTTGTTATGGAATTAACAAAGTTAATTACTTGCTTGTAAATTCTCTTCTTGTTACTTCTTTCTTTTGTTGAGTGCCTTGCTCTTCCTTCACTGTTATAACACTGAGAATGTCCCCATTGTAGGACTAATAAAGGATTATCTTATCTTATTTTATCTTACTGTAAGTACATGATATGAACATCAGTACATTAAATATGCATTCCCTCTATTCAGGAAACAAATATCCTAGAGTCCATGATGTTCAAAAGACATTTTTTTTTTCCAATGTTTGTGAATGGATAAATGAATGAACGGGCAACAGGCACCTACAGAAAGGTGGTCTAGCTTGCTAGCTTTTGGTTATGCTGGGTTAGCTTTACCTCGCTAAGTTTCTCTGACTGAAACTGTTTTGTGTGGGAAGAGGAAGAGACATTAGTCTTGTGCTTACTCCACCCGTTGGGTTCCACAAGTTCTTGCAATATCTTACGTTGCGTGATGTCATCACCTGGCTAAACTGACATACTGCCAAGTGTGGAGATCTGTAAGGTCCTAAATTGCTGCTACTCTGGTGCCAACAAAGACCTTAAAATGGCAAGATTCAGACTTCAGCCATGCCAATACCACTGTGGAGTCTAACTATCTTTTCTATGCTTAGTGTGATTTCATTGTGCAAGACCTGGGAGAGTTGTGCACCAGTAAGAGCAGCACAGAATTCCAGCCTGGGCATAGAGTGCGTACACTCAGGAGAAACCCTAGAGCGGGCCATCAAAGATAAGAGGTGGATTCTGCCTTGATCATCTATAGTCCACAGGTAGGCTACTGGGCTGTAAGTCTGCTCAGAACACATGCATCTTTCGCTGGATGTTAGACAGGTCTGCATTTTTGGGTAAGTATGATCAGGGATGGACAACTTGGGGTAGAAACTGTAACTCTTCTTCTAAACTGACCAATGTTGCAAGAGTTCTGAAAGTAACAGTGGATCATTCCAGCCTCTGTGTTCGTCCCACAGGCATCTTACCAACATCTTAGCTCAGGTGGTGTAGGGTAAAATGAACCCCAAAGGCTGACCAAGACCCTCTAGATGTTCTGCATGGTTGGCACACCATAATTTACTAGGCGATGCTTGAAGCCCAGGATGTCTGTTTGTACGTGCCAGGTAAGCCCTAGAGTTGATTCAGGAGAGTCTGTCTTCTCATGAGCAAGCCAGAGCTCAGCACTGACTGATTTTACCTCCTCAAATAGGTGACTGGTGACACCCAGCTCGTTGCTGGCCCACTGACACACTGTGAACCCAGCTGACATCAAGAGTGATTTTAACTTGTAGCAGTACCCCCAGCAGAGATGCTCCTAACGTCGGTCCAGGTAGAAAGTATTCATTCAGGCTTTACCCTGGTACTGATATGAGCAACTGAACAGCAACCATTGTGGCTGACCATGTGATGAGGAACATATGAGTTCAAAAGCTATGAATATTGATGTTACATCATTGTGGAGTAGATAATACATGGCCTAGTGTTTTATATAAGGCTGTGAGATCAGATCTGTCACCAATCTGTGCTCTCATACACAAATATAGATATTGCTTTAAATATCAATGTCATTCATGAATGACAGCATGCACAATAAACAGAGATGCCTCACATATTGTCAATGGCAATCCCTATACTATAGTAAGATCAATATAACCAATACTTGGGCACTATCTAGCGGCAAATCTCTGAATTGGCCAGGTATAAACAAACGAATGCCGTGGTCATGACTAACCGATACTTAACCGACAACTAACCGATAACTAACCAATAAATGGATAATTTAACTTCCCAGAAATGTATCAAGTATACACAAACTCAAGGATGAATACACAAAAATGAAATACATCTCCCAGCCAACATGAAACACAGTACAACCAGAGAAGAAATATGCTAAATACTAGCATTTGAAAGTGAAACTCAACTGATACAGAGCACATGGAGTAATGTGCCTGCTCATTAGTACCAGTAACAACTGTAAACATCAACTAACATTGTCTTTTTGTCTCAAAATACCAGTATGACATGAACATGCATGACTTACATTTTTATCAGTAATGCACAGTCTCTGGTCTCTGGTTTTAACAAAAAAATGGACTTATACTGTGTGGGCAATATTCAGCACTATCTGCTTCCTGCCAGAAGTGATGTCCAAAAACACAAAGCTGTACGACCCATATCTTCAGCCAATGACACAGATTTAACTGGATGATCATATTATTAGGAGAAACAAAATAAAATAACATTCACATCATTAACAAATCAGCATAAATCTTCCATCACAACTGGACCCTTTGACAGGCAGAGAAGTCAAATATGTGTAAAAACAATGAAAAGACTGACATTAACTGAAATAACTGAAAAGAATTAAACATCTTCAGGATATTGATACTCAACTTATAGTATCTGCTTCAGTCTTACTATTGAAGAATATATCTTACTGAAGACCAGTTCATACATTGATGATCTTACCGCAGTGTCTCCAGTTTACAGAGAGGATTCTCCAGTACAGCAGAGAGCAGCTTCAATCCCGAATCTCCTAGATTATTCTCAGACAGATTTAGCTCACTCAGATGTGATGGGTTTGATTTCAGAGCTGAAGTCAAAGCAGCACAGCCTTCATCTGTGATATTACACTTAAACAACCTGCAGAGAGAACAATGATGTACTCTTCACTCTCTCAGTTCAAAACACACAGGTTAGTTGCATGTTGCAATCATTAATAGATCATTAATAGATTAATTATATTAATATATATTGATCACTTTGGTCCAAATGTGCGCTTCCACTACTGCCTACCCAGACTCACTCTTAGGACATACACAAGGGTTCAAAGTTGTGTTGCATTTTTACAACATGGTACTGTTTACAAACACTCTTTATATGACACCAATATAAACAAACTTCAGACTATTGGCATTTGTATTTGCAGAGTAACAATAAATATTTAAAAGCAGGTTAAGTGAAGATGAAGATTGAAAAGTACCTGTAGAAGGAGTTTGTCAAACACTAGTTCACATAACATATTTAGTAGAAATAGCCTGAAGCCATCTATATGATCCATATGATGGTTAAAGGAGAAGCTTACAAATGTTTACAAAAGTATTAAAATAGTGTGTAAATGAAAAAAACATTCAAAAGATCATTTTATAATGACAGTAAGTTGAACTTAATCTAATTACATTTAGGTAATGCTTACAAATATTATTTCCAAAACATAAACTGTTATAAAAAGACATTAGCTCCCAGCCTTCACAGAAAACACAATGAGGTACTGTAATTTCATAAAGCATTAGGCTTTGAATTGGATTGTAAATTACTGTAAAATTACAGTGCTTATGATCACAATTTATAAAATGTGACCATTTACTAGAATTTACTGTTATGTTTGATCATTGTTAATTGGGGTAATTATTATGTTCGTACTTCTTGAACAGCTTGTGACTTACGTCATTTCCAAGCTAGCATAACATTTATCTACTATTTTATGAACACATTCCACCACTTTTATGTACCTAAGACTTTGGTAAACTCTTTTCAAGCACCAAAACAATTCATCCACATGAGTAAAGAGTTTGCTTCAGCTGGGGGATATTATATTCTAGATCTACAGTGCTGCAGTTGTATTTTGAGGCAAATAGAAACACTACATTATTTTCACAAAGTGTGGAACTGCTGGGATTCAAGACTTGCATCCTTTGCATTATGATTCAGGGTTCTTCAGAAAATCTTCTCTTCACATCAGACAGAAGCACATCAACAATTGGAATTAATGAACCTGTCCAAAATGACTCCTTATCTGTGTTGACCTGTCTTTGAACTACTGGAGTGGAAATGTAATACCCTTCAAGCCTAGAGCTTCGTGTGATCTGACCCCATGGATGGCCTGGAGGTGCAACACAGATGTTGCATTGCTTGGCAAGGGTCGAAGTGTTGTTCCAAATCTCATTAAAGTGAGATCCCACTCAATAACTGTTTAGTCTCACCAAAAACAAGGAGGCCAACAAACTTTAGATCTATTTGGGCTAATAGACCTATTTCCTTTTCAGCTCTGTCACCATTTCTCTCTTCAGATATTTTTCCTTTAGTAGATGTATGATGGCTGGCAGTCTGTTCCTGACTGTCTTGCAAGCACTGTATTTACATGCCCCCCGTTTCTCTACCAGTCCTTGTAACTTCCTTTTTGCTCTCTGAAACATGTCCTTCTGTACCTGTAGCCACCTTTGACACAGACATACAGTTACTGCAAAAGAGAAAAGAAACAATTGGCTTTAGGGATGCATTTCACACTGTCAACTATAACCCCAATTCCAAAAAAGTTGGGACGCTGTGTAAAATGTAAATAAATGCAAATAAAAACAGAATGCAATGCAAATCTCATAGGTCCATATATCATTCATAATAGAACACAAAACACATTTTAGATGTTGAAAGTGAGACAATTTACCATTTCATGAAAAATATTAACTCATTTAGAACTTGACGGCAGCAACACATCTCAAAAAAGTTGGGACAGGGGCAACAAAAGGGTGAAAAGTAAGTGGTATTAATAAGAAATGGAGAAGATGGAGGAGCAATTTGCAACTAAATTACATGACTGGGTATAAAAAGAGCAGTTTAGAGAGGCAGAGTCTCTCAGCAAAGATGGGCAGAGGTTCACCAATCTGTGAAAAACTGCATCTAAAAATTGTGGAACAACTTAAGAAAAATGTTCCTCAATGTAAAATTGCAAATACTTCAGATATCCCCCCATCTACAGTACATAATATCATCAAAAGATTCAGAGAATCTGGAGAAATCCCTGTAAACAAGGGACAAGGCCGACAGTCAATATTGAATGCTCGTAATCTTCGGGCCCTCAGACAGCACTGCATTAAAAACAAGCATGATTCTGTACTGGAAATCACTGCGTGGGCTCAGGATCACTTCCAGAAATCACTATCTGTGAACACAGTTCACTGTGCTATCCACAAATGCAAGTTAAAGGTGTAACATGCAAAAAAGAAGCCGTATGTCAACACAGTCCAGAAATGCTGCCGTCTTCTCTGGGCCAAAGCTCAATAAAATCTGAACTGAGGCAAAATGGAAAATTGTTCTGTGGTCAGATGAATCAAAATTTTAAATTCTTTTTGGATACCACAGATGCCGAGTGGAGAGGAGAGGGACCATCCAGCTTGTTATAAGCATTAGTGACTATGCTGTGGGCAGCATGTCACATTTATTTGACTTGTCATTTTTCTTTTGACCTGTAGGATTGTTATTGATGCCTGTTCTGCACTTCTGTCCCATGCTGCTGTCTGTTGTTTTTTACTGGGCTCTGTTACTGATACAGTCTTGCCTGTTAATTGCTGTCTAGTTCTTCTAAAAGAAAGAGAAGATATCCGTGAACTTTCTCTTCATTTTCTGTAAATTGACATAGCACAGCAGTGTCTAATCGTAGCTAGTAATGTTAAGCTAACACTATTAGCTATGTAATTTGACACCGTCAAAAAATGGAGGAAACATACATATTTTTTACTTAATATAGGTATTGTATTACTTACTTACCCATTAGCAGTCTGGTGGTCTCTCAGCTTCTGATGATGCCAAGTCAAGTCAAGTGAAAGTTTATTTATATAGCGCTTTTTACAACAGGTGTTGTCACAAAGCAGCTTCACAGAAAAATCTGGGTCTGAGCCCCCATGAGCATTGCCAATGATGACAGTGGCAAGGAAAAATTCCCTAAGAGCAAGAGGAAGAAACTTTGAGAGGAACCACGACTCAAAGAGGAACCCATCCTAATCTGGTCGACAACAGTAGAAAACAGCATTAGTATAAAATATTTGAATACAAAACAGAGAAAACAGGTGGAGCAATGGTTAATTAGATAGTTTGAGTTTATGCAGCAGCAGCAGCAGCAGGAGGGTCAGTTCATGCATGTGAGGTTTGCACAGCTTTGTACACAGTGAAGCTCCATGGTGGTCAGAACGGTGCAGATCAGCCAGCGGAGCTCTGGTGAGAGAGAGCGAGAGAGAGAGAGAGAGAGAGAGAGAAATTGATTAACAAGACAGGTCCATTTATGGAGAGATATTAGTGAGTAATAGTGCAACAACTGAAATTAGCAAAATGCTTGTGCAAATAGATAAGTTTTGAGTCTAGTTTTAAATTTGGAGGGTCCCGAACAGAGGTTGGGAGATGATTCCATAATTTTGGGGCTACGTAGGAAAATGCTCGACCACCTGCTGTGGTTTTTCTCATTCTGTTAACTGTCAGCAGGCCGTTATTTTTTGAGCAGAGTGTATGTGTGGGTTCATATGACTGAATTAATTCACTAAGATACTTCAGGGCCATTTATTGATTTATGCGTTAAGAGAAGGATCTTATACTCAACACCAAATTTAACAGGTAGCAAGTGTAATGATGACAGGATTGGGGATATATGGTCAAATTTTTGGTCCCTGTAAGGACTCTAGCAGCTGCATTCTGGAGTTGGAGTTTATTTGTTACAGTGTTGGAGCATCCAGCTAAAATGGTGTTACAGTAGTCCAGCCTGGAGGTCATAAAGGCACCAGCCTTTCCGCATCACTTAGGGCTAGATGTCCAATGTTATGCAAGTGAAAGAATGCGGTTCTAACAATATTACAAACTTGTGTTTTAAAAAGAGAGACTGGAATTGAAGATCATGCATAGATTTTTTTTACAGTGGTGCTTGGAATGACCGTATGGCCTCTAAATTTAGTTCGAATTTGGAGAGTTGAGATCTTTCTGCTTTTGGTCCAAGTAGTAGGACCTCAGTTGCTGATGCCACCACAAACACAAGGCTGAACTCATCTGGCAACACACTGTACAGCAACAAGCCTGGCAGGGCCAGGGAAGGGAAAGGAGTGTCACAGAGACTTCATTTGGTGTTTTCTTTCACATGACTATGACTATTGTGAAAAAATATACACTTACAGCATTTGGCAGACACTCTTATCCAGAGAGACTTACAATTTAATCATTTTACACAAGCAGACAATGTCTTGCCCAAGGACTCTTATTGGTATAGTGTAGGGTGTTTACCCAGGCAGGGGATTGGACCCCAGTCTACAGCATAGAAGGCAGAGGTGTTAGCCATTACACCAACTACTGGTTTGCATTATCGATTTAAATGAATAGTATCTATGAATAGTATGTAATTTATCAAACAGAAGCAAATTTTGCAGCATATTATGCAAAGGTGACTTGTCTTGGGGGGGCCACTGTGGGGGCCAGTGATTGTATCAGAGTGACCATTGCCCTTCCTTAAAATAAAAGCTGTTTCAATACCTGAGAAATGCTGGCGGTAGACATTGGAAAGGTAAAGGTGACTGCAAAAGGAGAAGATATTTGGTTAAGCCTTAAAACAGTGACATGAAGAGAAGAGAGAGCTGAAATTTCACAAACATTACCCTGATAGTTAGTTATTAAATTATGGCTTAGTTCAACTAATTAACCTATTGATTAACTGTAACTTCAGCACCAGCCACTCAATGTTGTTCCATCAGAGTTGTTTTTATCCTCTTGTGTGATGGAAGCATCGGTCCTGAGCTGTGATGTGTGAAGCCATTAGCTTACTAGCCTGCAAGCTAACAAACCCACACATCACAGAACCTGGTTACTTTCTCTTTTTCTGTCACTCCAACACC